TACTCCGAGCATCAAACCTTCGCCAAGTCACAGAGTACACATGACACCCAAACAGTGCCAAGGACCAAGAGCGCTTTGGCAAGCAGTCGGGTTTCGTGTCGCTTGTCGCCGGGAATTCATGGCTGATGTCCATCCGATCTTCGCACTTTCTTCGTCAGACGTCGCTTCTCGTCCGTGACTGTCCTCCCTTGGAATGCTGAACGCTCGTTCTGTTTTGCAATATCGGAGTCACCCGCGAGTCGCTCCAGCGATAGACTGGGAAGGAAACACCCAGGAGACAAACAGCCAGCCCGGCCTTGAGTCTGTCCTTCTGGTCATCCGTCTTGGGAATCACTGGAGGCACAAAGGCTTTCTTCGCATTCCTCACTTGGGACTAAACGAAAGTGTGGCAAGGCAAGCTCGAATACCTCTTCAGAAGGTCAGTTTTTATTTGCATGCCTTTGGCGCAATCATTCTCCGAGGACAACCTTTTACTAAACTCGCGTTACCCGTCACAGCTGGTGGACCCTCTTGAGCACAGCTTGTGCGTCACTTGCGCCGGCCATCTAAGGTCCGAGTGCTGTTGTGGAATTATCTTTCTCAAACCTCCGAGCAAAAACCTTACATTTGCACGTAGAAGTGGGTACTTGACCGCTATTGGAGAAAGATCCAAGGACGTCCACTGCCAGCATCGGCGAAACTACTCTAAGAGCTTCACTTCTTCTTCCGATGCAAGTGGGATCCCATTCTGTACTAGGCAGGAACAACAGCCATGCGGTGATGTAGGCTCATACCTAATTAAATTGCATCCGTTTCTCAGCTGGTTGCTGCCACGGCACCACTCGCCGTAGGCTTCAGCAGACACACTTGTTCGCCTCAGCACACGAGCATTCGAGCATTAGGCATGAGCATGTCCAGCACAAAGCCCTAAATCTGAATCTACCGCGTCGGATCCAAGCACTGCCTGACCCTCAGAATTTGGAACCCAGTTTGCGTGTGAATCCCCTCTCCAACAGCGGCCAAGAGCCCAGCAGCTTCAAGGCTTTCTCGCAGGCCTCCACGCGCCTGAGGATCTGGCGCCCGGTTGTCCATGTCCCTCTCCCAGCCCGGGGGCGGTTCGTCGTCCTGGCTCCAGGTTGAGCCGGTACGGCACGACTTCAAAACGGGGGTTGACATGAGCTCCATGCCTCGAAATTCAAATTGGGGAAGTGAGGGAACGTTTTCGGATGGTTAAAACGACACGCAACCACTGTTTGCGCGGCATAACAGAGTCACTCAATACTCGACATAACCTAGAAGCCTTTGGGGCATTTTATCACCATCGCTGAGAGCCGCCTGACATGACCTTTAGCTGCTTTTGACGTACTGCACCAGCAGCAATCACCCCAAGCGCGCATCATTGCACTTAACGCAAGAGGAAAGAACTGTGCAGTTGCACCTCCACCACAAAAACTTCTGCAACTTTGCTCCGTGACACTTCTCTTGCAGCTCACGGTCAATGTAGCTGAGGGTTCCAGGGCCACATGCCTTGATTCAACAAACGCTCAAGCTCCGGAAGGGCAGAGGCCAATTGTCAGAATGATTGCAAGTGAAAACAATGCCGTCTCGAAGATGGCCATTCCTGCTGGGCTGAAGTCCGGAGACAGCCTCGAATGAACAGTTGCCCGCGTCGCACCCTCGAGACGCGCCTCGTCATCCTCTTCCTCCTCCTCTTGCTCCGCGACGGCCGCCTCGCTGGCCATCTTAGCAGCCTCTTGGACCTGGTCGGACACGGCGGAAACCCGAGATCTTGGGGAGATGTTGGTGTCTAGGCAATTCTGCAGAGCTGCCACACATTGCATGGGAAAGAGCAAATGCTTGAATCCAGAAAGCACGTGCTCACCTCATCAAGCTGCGGCATACCTTGTTATCTTTATGCCACAGACAACATGTCCCATTTTGCGCAGGTCAAAACGAGTGCATATTCTAAAGGCTGCTGTGATGCTGGAGAGTCATGGCACTCGGCCAACTTATTGCTCTGGACATGTCAAGGAAACAATACGCGTGCTCGCCATCACTCATGGCTTCCCCAGAAGTGCAACCATCATCTCATTCTCCTCCAAATCCATCATACAGTTAGTTAGGTCAGTGAAAAGCTTACTGTTGGAGGGTAGTTTGTTTTTCTTCGGGAGATGCATAGTAAGTAGATGATGAGACAAAAGCCTAAGGCTTCCATAGGACGGCTGCGCGCGCGTACACACCCACCCACCCACCCACCCACCCGCCCGCCCGCCCGCCCGCCCGCCCGCCCGCCCACGCACGCACGCACGCACGCACGCACCCACACACACACACACACACACAGCCGGGCCCGTGCACATCATTACTATGAAGAACCACAAGCGAATACGGCTGTGAAAACGCCCCCAGGCCACCTCACACCCAATGGCAACAGCTTCCTGCGAGTTCCTGACACGAGAAGATGTACTTGAGCAAAGTTCTATTGCTTGAAGCTTCGCCCCGCTGCCCCGCTGCTCCGCAGTGCCGCCCACTGCCTGGCCCTTCAGCTTGTTCACCTGCAGGGCGGATTAGCAGCGGGTCTGCACGCCAGACTGCGCATCAAAGCAACTTCTGCGCAAGCCGATTCCAACTCAATACCTCTGGCAATCCCCTTCAGCAATAGGGGCTGCTGCAGCAGTACCAGCATTAGCAACATTTGATTCAAGCATTTGTGAGTTGCAGGGGGGAAAATGGCCAAACCATGATTGCGCATGGTTGCCATGGGGCAGTCTTTGTTTGAACTGGGGGACGACAGGGCCACTGAGCCAAATGAAGGACTTGGGCCTGATGATGGGACTATGAGCGAAACATGCAGCGGTTGGACAGCGATTCAGGAGTGCTACGCAGGAGCCTCACCCAGTCGCACCCATCATTCAAAACCAACCTCAATCATGAATTTCGCATCTGTAGTGGTTTGTGTGTGTGAAACCAAGCCCAAGCCTAAGCAGAAAGCGGTCTCAGCCAAAGTAAACATCACTGAAAGCACAGGAACATAAACTGGTCCACACTTGTCAACGCAAAGCCCATCACACTTTGAATCTCAAACGAATCTTACTGTAGAGCAACCAGAATTGCAAGATCCAAACCCACAGCCAACATTTGCCAACATCGATCCAAAGATCAGCCAAACCTCTCCCAACTAGCTTAGTGCTTCTGAGCATATCACATCTAGCAAAAGCTAGCAGACGCACAGGGAGGGCAAGATCAAACGAAAGCATCGCAGATGAGCAGCTTCCTTGTTCAACGTGTCAGCCTCTTCTCCATGAAGATCACTTCGAGTATCAAGCGAGGAACAATATATATCCGCACAAACAATACAACCGAGCTAAAACTGTAGCCGCAAGTGGACACCTGGGACCTCAACCGCCCTGACCTTCAACACCAGCTCGTCGTTCTCCTTTGTCAAGCGCTCCTTCTCTTCGGGAGTGAGCTGCTTGTCCTGGGCCATGCAAGTGGCAAAAGAGTTCTTCCAACTGCTGCGATTGGGAAAGACCAATTTGGCACTGCCAACAACATGTCTTTGTCCACATCTGATGTTCGAGCTTCAAACCCTGTGGAAGGATGGCCAGCTTGAAACAAAGGTCGCACAAAAAAGTGCGGCAATAAGCCGGTTTGTCAACTACGTTTCGGAGGCATTCCTGCAAAAATATATAATTCACGTCCAAAAAGGATTGAGGTCCGTTTCCAGCATCGGGCCTCCTCAGCAGCCTTCTTCTTCTCCAGCCTGGCCGTGATGCTTGAAATTGATAGCGGTGAACCGACGCACTACGACAAGCGGGAGTCTGTTGAACATGTGAAAACACACACACACACCTTGTCACACACCCACACCTTTTCACCCAAACACACACGCTCACACACACTCTGGGGCGCCAGCCAGTCCAGGATGAATGGCACAGGATCCTGTGACACTCTGGATGTCGTTCCATCTTTTGAGGCAACTCTTCTGACCGTTTCCTTGTCAAACTTGAAACCTTGGCAAGGACTTTTAGCCATGCGATTTGCTAGCCAACAAAGGTTGTGTCGCGATAAATCGGCCCTGGTCTGAGCACGTCCAGTGGGTCGCTTCGCATCTTACCAAATAAACATTAACCAGTATCCATCCTTGGGCATCTTGTGGATGCATTCTGCCACCATCTCTTCAAGGATCGGGTTCAATGATTCGAAGATGTACCTGATGCTCTCCAACTGGGTGCTTGTCGAGGCAGCCAAAGGTAACAACAAAGTGTCAATTCTACAGTAGGGGACCTATTGGGCGGGGCATCAGGAAACCAACCATGCCATCACAGCCAAGGTCCATGTGATGGTCAAAACTTCTATGGGCCATGGCCATGGCTTCCCTAAGAGGAATCCTTGTAAAGATGGTCTGAACCCCCCCCAAAACAAGGGGTCATTGGCCATGATTGCAGCCACGCAGCTTTTTCTTGTCCTCGGAAATCTTAAGCGCCTTGGGATGGTAAACGGATGTCAACGGCGCATGGGCGTGTTGGACCCTTTGGCGCCCATGTAGAAAGGAAGCCCAAAAAGAAGGTCACCATTTCATGAAAGGATTTTTAGTTTTGCGCACAGGTCGAAAAGGATGCTAAGCGCAGTACCTCCAGTCCTTCCATGGCTGCAACTTTCGATCGAAGCAACGCGAACGATGTGCAATGGTGGGACTGAGCCGAGAAGCGACAGAGCAGCCAGCGATGGCATGAGCCGCGAAAGGGCATCCCCACTCACAGAGTTTCTCCTTTTATGGTGTGTAACTTGAGGCGTTCGCTGGAGATTCGTCAAAAATCGAGCATGTTCCAAAGGCACCGGCACAACATCCTGGGTAGCGTCCTCGACTAGGGTGACCTACAAATCTAGGATTTAGCCTTTTGCCAAGTCAGCATGACTACAAGTGCTCCATCTAGGGAATCACTTGCACCCATCCATGAGACTTCCTCTCGGGCGAGTGTCAAGCCAGCCGCTCCTGCTCTGATTGCAAGGCGCCGCGCCTCCACAAACGACTGCAAGCGGGCACATTCCGATGCGGCCTCATCAGCCTCCGGTCCAGAGTTGGCCATGTCTGATGAATATGGGGATGTCTATTTTCAGCACCCACTTTGGGTTGGTTTTACTAATCATTTTTTGGGGCCCTTATTTTGAACAAACCCATATGCTGCGGCTGCTTCGCACGTTCTGGCTTAAGCCAAACTGGGACTGCTCTCGGGCGTCGCTGCCTTTCATTGGCTGATGCAATAAGTCTGAAAGTGACACCGATGAACCATCAAAACGGGGTTTCTAAATGTTTCTACTAATGACGCCACCTCCGGATAACAAGCCCCCAGTTGTCCACCATCTCAATACTTCTGTGTGCTTTCGTTGTTTTGGAACCTTCCCCAGCTTGGGGCAAACGCTACATTCACACCATTCGAAGCCCTTCGAGTTCTCAGGCCGCGGCGCTGCCCTGCGCTTTGCCCGCAGATGAGGAAACCTCCAGCAGAGAGCGCCGCCTGGGGCTGGGCTTCTCGAGCAGAGTCCGCCGCCCTCTCCCGAAAAGGGGCGGCGCCCGGGAAGGGTTGGTAATAGCAACTCAAACAACCTGGGACAGTCTCGAACGCCTAACATCGATTCCACCCTGCGACAGTTGTCCACTGCGTAGCTAGGGATGACTGAAGATGCTAAGGATGTGAGAATGTGCCCTGCGAATGTTACATGTGTACATATCGCATGTGATCTGACTGTTGCTTTAGACATTAATGCCTGCACTGGCTTCACAGTATTGGGAGCCTGTACAAATGAGGTTTGGTAGAAATACATGTGGGTGTTCGGGCAGCTTCTGAGTTCAACTCTGTCTCCAAACAGTAGAATGGGATGACTGGGTTGGTGAACAACTTGTCCCTCTTCACGGCCCGTGTTCCAAAAAAAGGTACAGGCACCCATCTGGCAAGAGGTTTCCGCCTTGCCCACAGTACGCTAGTCAAGTGCCAAGCAAACCTCCAGCTCGTGGCTTGCGCCAGGGCCCACGCAGGCTGCCGCAGCTTTCCTCCAAGACTGTCAGCTCATCCCGAGAGGCTTTGCTTTGTTTCCGCTCCTCGCCCGGGCGTGACACACGACGCTCACTTGGTGCCAGTGGTTTGGAGGCTAAACAAAGAAGCAACTCAAGCCAACAAGGAAACCCGCAGAAAAGGGGACCCTTCCAGCAATTCGCCCAAGTTAGTTGTGGGGCAAATGGACATCTTTCCGCAAACACGTTGAAGCTTGGGACCCTGATAGGAAAACACGCTTGGGAATGGGATAATGCCCAAACATAGCAAGGGCCCTTGCTTCGAATCATCATCTCATGCAACCTCATACTGGAAACATGACCAATTTCTCCGTCAACTTTCTCTTGTGCAATTGCTCTCGTCTGTGCAAGTTCTCTGGTGCAACGTCTCTTGCGCAAATTGCTGCGCAAGCTCCCTGTGCAAGTCTCTGGTCAACGAGAGAGGTGTGTGTAGCTTCCTGTGAGGAAATGAATGTATGTATCTGTCTTTGCCTGTCGGATTGACTTGGCTTGGTAGGGCTCTTGAGGTCTGCTTGGGGCTTAGGCTTGGCAGCTTGAGCTCTTTTGCCTGGCCTGCACCCTGGCTCTTGAGCTTTGGCTTTGCCCGTTCTTTAGCATCTGATGTCTGTTGCGCAGGTTTGACCGGTAACGTTGGTGCTGTGTTTCAGTGGTTGCACAGAGTCTCGGATGCTAGCAGCTCAGAAACTCTCCGTGTCAGAAACGCTGCAGTGGGGAGACACACCTATACTCATGCGCATAAATTTGTACCATCTATATGCCATGCAGCAACTATGGATTGGGGAGTGATTCTGGTCTATGCACATGCAGGCCTATGTGCCATTTGTCTGCTTCTTTCTCTTCAACTGTAGGAATTGCCTTCTAGGGTGTTTTGCAAGTCTAACCTAAAAACAAGGTGACGACCTTTCTTATCCCATTGATTTTGCTCGTGCCTGAAAGCTGCGAGGTATGTAATCCGCCATTTTTGCAGGGATTCTTGTAGACTCCGCAAACCCTGAGTGTTGGAATGACCCGCGAATCACATGACTTTTTACGGATTCTCTAAGTTACAAGGTGATTAGCACTGACCAGCTGCTCTGTGTGTGCCTGTTTCTTTTGAGGGCACATGGACGTGAAGTGCAGCAAGCCTTCAAACATGGACACTGACATGACCTGACAACCCCAAATCCCCACTTCCTGGTTGAATAAGGATTATCATTATTTTTCAAGATATATACATATATATATATATATGGTCCCGTGTTCCGTGTTGCTACCCCCCCCGTCCCCCATATGGCATTCCCCCCCCCCACCCCGACCCCTGAACTCGCACCCCGACACCCCGACACCCCCACCCCCACCCCCAGGACAAGCCAACCCGCAACCAACCATAAACCAACCCTAAACTAACCCTAAACCAACCCTAAATACACCCTAAACCAAACCCTAAACCGTAGACCTCTAAACCTAAACCAACCCTAAAACAACACAAACCAACCCTAAACTAACCCTCAACCGACCCTAAACTAACCCCAAATGCACCCTAAACCAATCCCTAAACAATAAACCCTAAACCTAAACCAACCCTAAACTAACCCTTACACCCTGAACCAAACCCTAAACCGTACACCTCTGAACCTAAACCACCCTAAACCAACCCTAAATCAACATAAATCAACCTAAATCAACCCTGAACCAACCCTAAACTAACCCTAAATACACCCTAAATATACCCTAAACCATTTCTAAACCAACCCTAAACCACCACAACCCAACCACAGGGGCGGGGGGGCTGGCAACGCTGTACCACATATATATATATATATATACATATATATATGTATATGTGTAATAAGAACCTCCCCAACCCCCAACATCCCCGGGGTCGTTTTTGCCTTCGGGCAACAAGAAAACCCAACTCCCCACCCCAAACTCCCTGGGCTCGCAAGGAAAAACAAGCCCTTGACAAAACCCAAACCAGGCAATGAATATGCCCGCATACATATATATATATATGGTACGCCTGGTGCCTAGGTTTTGCTGGATTTTAACGCCCTTTTTCAAGACTTTTTGTATTTGTTGGGCCAAACTTGGGCACCAAGGAAGGGGTGTGTGTGTGTGTGTGCCACAATTCTACAATTAAGAATGCTGGATCCAAGATTGCTGGGAGACGTTCAATGTGACAATCTGGAATTCAAGATTCAAGATTCAAGCTTTCAAAACAATCTTTTCTGGAATGCTGGAATATTGAGTCTTGCTTCCCATATGTTTTTGTGTGTTTTTTTTTAATTCTGGGATTCAAGATTCAAGAGTCAAGATTTCAAAATAATATGTTTTCTGGAAATCTTGAATCTTGAATCCCAGGAATTCTAAAAAACCAAAAAAAGATGCAAGATTCAAGATTCAAGATTTCAAAATAATCTTTTTCCGGAAATCTTGAATCTAGGGGTTCTAGGGGAATACACTACCCGGAGAATAGATGGCACATTTACGACGTATATTTTTAGGTAGATGGCACGGTGTGATATAAAAATGGCCCATGCTCAGTTGGCACAAATCTTCAATTATCCGGCGAATTGTGCCATCTACTGGCTCAAAAAATCAGGGAATATCCAGGGGGTCAAAAAAATGTGCCATCTACAAACATGTCCGCCGACCCCTTTGGCTCTTCTGTGAGTGGATCGGAGTGAAGTCGGAGTGGAGTGGAGTGGCATGGAGACTGGAGAGTGGATCTATTAAGCAAACATGTCCGCCGACCCCATTGAGTGGATCGGAGTGAAGTGGGAGTGGAGTGGAGTGGCATGGAGACTGGAGAGTGGATCTATTAAGCAAACATGTCCGCCGACCCCATTTGGCTCTTCTGTGAGTGCGTCGGAGTGAAGTGGGTGGGAATGGAGTGGCGTGGAAAGTGGAGAGTGGATGTATTAAGCAAACATGTCCGCCGACCCCATTGACTCTTCTGTGAGTGGGTGGGCGTGGGAGTGGAGTGGCGTGGAGAGTGGAGAGTGGAGAGTGGAGAGTGGGGAGTGGGGAGTGGGGACAGTGGAGTGGAGTGGGGCTAAGGAAGTATTCACAGTGTGTACATATACAATATTCATACATACAAGTCAAAGTTATTGACGAACTCGCTAACACTGCAACTTCCATTTCGCACTGCTTGCTATGCTGGCGTGAGTCAATCCGGCTCGGCGCTGTACTGTGAACAGGCAAGGCTCAGGCAGGTACACCCGCGCAGGCTGTCCTACTGTAGTTCACTGGATGTTGCCCCCCCCCCCATCAACAAATAGATGGCACAATTCCATTTCGTTGATGAGTGCGAAAAATGAATCCTTATAGGCCAAGGGTCGGCTTTTCGCAAGACTGCGCGGGGCTCTGATCCTGATCGAATCTTGGAGTTTGGGCAGCGGAGATTACGAAGCGTTAAGGGCGCAAGGCCTAAGCACTGGGGAAATTAAAATGAACAAACACGAAGGCACCCCCCTCCACTGCAGGGGCTGCCCAAAAGGCCCCTAGAAACACTGCTCCCCATATGTGTGAGCAGGGCTGGATGGCCCACCGCCAAAACGCCAGTCAAGCCCAATCGGCTTGCAAAGCTGTACGAATTTCCGATCCGCTCTGGCACTGTGCAGGATGGAAGGTAGTGGCTGCCTAATTGCGCGTTGAACCTTAAAATCAAAGTAGATGGCACATTTCTACCCCCACCCCGCCAGAGCAGGGCTACCCCCAAAACTCCAGTCAAGGCCAGTGGGCTTGCAAAAGCTACACGAATCTGGCACTGTGCAGGATCAAAGGCAGCGGCTGCCTAGTTCTTGCGGCTTGAACCTTGCCCCCCCCCCCTTGATCCTTGCACGGACCAGCTCTGATATACGGCCCTGGCCCTCTTGCGCAAACCGGACTGCCGGTGCAGAATCAAAGGCATCGGCTGCCTAGTTCATTGTGTGTTGAACCTTGCCCCCCCCCCAAGAACGAGAACACAATGCTAATCAAAAAGTAATGTAGATGTATTCCAATAACAGTACGTTCATTTAACCGGCCGCCCTACCCCCCCCCCTCCTTTTCCTACCTGTCTGTCACATCAAATGGCATTGACTCGACATCAAACTAACATTGACAATCTTCAGTCACATCGTAACATATGAGGTCGGCGGCAGAGGGCGGCAGCCCTTGGCGAGTGAGTGAGTGAGTGAGTGAGTGAGTGAGTGAGTGAGTGAGTGAGTGAGTGAGTGAGTGAGTGAGTGAGTGAGTGAGTGAGTGAGTGAGTGAGTGAGTGAGTGAGTGAGTGAGTGAGTGAGTGAGTGAGTGAGTGAGTGAGTGAGTGAGTGAGTGAGTGAGTGAGTGAGTGTGAGTGAGTGAGTGAGTGTGAGTGAGTGTGAGTGAGTGAGTGAGTGAGTGAGTGAGTGAGTGAGTGAGTGAGTGAGTGAGTGAGTGAGTGAGTGAGTGAGTGAGTGAGTGAGTGAGTGAGCCAGTGAGCGAGTCAGTGAGCGAGTCAGTGAGCGAGTCAGTGAGCGAGTGAGCGAGTGAGCGAGCGAGCGAGCGAGTGAGTGAGTGAGTGAGTGAGTGATTGAGTGAGCCAGTGAGCGAGCCAGTGAGCGAGCCAGTGAGCGAGCGTGAGTGGACGCACTGAATTGTGCCATAAATTATTCTTAGGGGGCTAAAAAATTGTGCCATCTATTTTGCATCCCGGTTGACCCCCAATTATCTGGCGCCGGTGCGCGGAGTGTAAATATCTAAGATGAAGAAAAGTAGATGGCACACACCGTTTTTTTGAGCCATCTATTCTCCGGGTAGAGTACTAGGGGAACACTCAGGGAATACTAAGGAAATATCAAGGGTGAATACTAGGGGAGTACTCAGGGAATACTAGGAGAATACTAGGGGAATACTGAGGCAATACTAGGGTAGGCCAATACTGGGGAAATACTTGGGGAATATCAAGGGAGCACTAGGGCAATACTAGGAGAATAGCAGGGGAATACTATGGGAATTCTAGGAGAATACGAGGAGAACAAGGGAATATTGGGGGAATACTAGGAGAATACTGAGGCAATACTGGGGGAGTACTCAGGGAATACTAGGGGAGCACTGAGAATTACTAGGGATATACCAAGAGAATACTAAAGGAATGCTAGGGCAAGACTAGGGGAATACTTGGGGAATATTAAGGGAATACTAGGGCAATACTAGGAGAAAAGTATGGGAATTCTGGTGGAATTCTAGGGGATTTCTAGGGGAATAGGGGAATACTAGAAGAACACTCAGGGAATACTAAACGAATACTAAGGGTGAATGCTAGGAGAATACTAGGGGAATACTGAGGCAATACTAGGGGAATGTAGGCAATACTAGGGGAGTACTCAGGGAATACTAGGGGAGCACTGAGAATTACTCGGGATATACCAAGAGAATACTAAAGGAATACTAGGGCAATACTAGGGGAATATTAAGGGAATACTAGGGCAATACTAGGAGAACAGTAGGGGAATACTGGAATTCTAGGGGAATACTGGGGGAATACTAGGGGAATACTAGCAAACCACTCAGGGAAAGTTACGGGAATACTAAGGGAGAATACGAGGAGAATACGGGAATACTGAGGAAATACTAGGGGAGTGTTAAGGGAATGTTGCCAGATTTTTAATCATCTGCTTCTTGCCATGATGGACTGCAAGCCCATTCGTCTGTGCTCAAAATCTATTGCAAACAAGTCTAAACTCTACAGCCTGCGCGCTCAAATCAAGCAAAACCTAGGCACCAGGGGGGGGGGGGGCGGGGCGTAGCATCTATCTATATATATATACGCATCTTGGGGATGATGCTGGCAATGCTGGGGATGCTGTCCAGTACCGTGTGAGCCCTGCACCTGAACCAACCCTAAACCAACCCACCAAGCCTAAACCAACTCCGAACCACACCCCAACCACCCAACCACCCCACCACCACCACCCCACCCCACCACCCCACCACCCCACCACCCCACCACCCCACCACCCCACCACCCCACCACCCCACCACCCCACCACCCCACCACCCCACCACCCCACCACCCCACCACCCCCCCACCACCACCCCCAACCCCACCACCACCCCACCACCCACCCACCCCACCCCCACAGGGGGGGGGGGGGTTGGGGGGGGGAGGAGGGGGGGGGTCCACGGCCTGGAACATATATGCATACGATGTAAGTATACTATAACGGATCATCCAATGTCATGGGTGCAACAAAATGTACCACCCCGTCAAAGCTACTGGTTCCCCTTGTTCTCCCCGAAATCGCAATCAAACGCGCAGCTGACCCATCCTCCGCAAAATCCACTCGCACGGCGCCCAGCTGCGCTTTCAGGTCCTCCAGGTGGACCTCGATCCGTTTCAGGGTCCATCCCATGCTTCGAGCCATGGAATGAAATGGGAGGAGAAAAACCGAACTGGGTGTGGGTCAAACAAGGGTACCCAAAATGGAACCCTGGCAAATGGATTTTGACCCATACCCAACTCAACCTCCTCTTGAGACCGGTTGCCTGGACAAAAACCGCACAGCATGGGGGGCTGCCCATGTCAAACCCCTGAAACCCAAGGAACTGTAAGAGGTGCATGGGCTTCTGTGAGGGTTGACCCTCACGCCAAACAAAACAGGGCAACACGATTGTCCCCCTTTCACGGTCTGCTAATTACACATTGATCAATGTGTTGCAGCATATTGCACTGGTTATCGCACGTGGGGTAATTGTGTTCATGCTTACCTTGCTCTACTTCTGACAATGCTTCTGATCCACTTACAACCCATCATTGTCATGATTGTCCATGCGCGCTCGAACTCGATTCACGGCAACCAGGCAACATGTTCAAGGGCCACAACGTGAGCCACTGGGTTGACCCCAAGTCCCCAAATTCCCCTTGAGTGTGTGTGTGTGTGTGTGTGTGTCTGTGAGATGCTTGGCACAGGGGTTACTTTGGAGTCTTTCAAATAGCTTTTTTTTGACACTGACGCTGGCCACCTTTTGAAACACCCACACAACCCGTCCTGGACATCGGAGAACAATGGAATCTCACTCCAACTTGCTGCATTGCTTCAAGTTGCAAGTTGAAAATTCGCTGGAGACGAACCAGTCCTGTTGTGTTCCGCCCATCAAGGGCACGACCCAGCCTGCGTTTCCGCCCTGTAGCGCGCAGCCACATCCTGAGCACTTCAGCCCCCAGGCTGCAGGCGTTTCATGGCTGATGCAATTCGAAGCAACTTGGTACAGAACCAAGCCGCCAAGTACCGCAATTGACTAAGCAACTAAGCTTGTGCCGTGACTATTGAAGTCCCATCCGCAAGTGCGGAACTTTTTGAACAGGGCTCACCTCAGGGCTGGTCCTCGGGCTGCCCGTACAGAAAGCCCCTGGTTTGGTCTGGCCTGCCTGGGTTGAGGTTGCCTGGAAGAAGCTTCTTAGAGAAATGCTGGACTAGTCGCTAATCTTGGACAGGAAAATCTCAACCGGGGACCCCTAGCCCCAACACTTCCCCCAAACAATTGAAAATGATACTTCCTGCCCTGTCCTTTGCTTGCCTTACCCAACAAACCCTTCGCAGGCACAATAAATTCTTGATGCAAATTATCTCGAACCCCGGTCCTCCGCAGCTCGGCGCCCCTCACTGCGCAACTCCATGCACTGGCCCTGGAGCTCCTGATGAAAGCCCGTTCACAGCCCTCCATTCCAGTAGTGGGTTTCCGGTATTGGCAAAAGGGCACCATGATTGCCCAGCTTCAGGTTGCCCTGTCATCAAGTGGGATTGTTCTTCTGTTTGCTTCAAACACCCTTTGGACTTCTGCCTTGATCGGTGTGAGCATCCTGACCGTTTCTGGATTCTCGCAATCAAGGGCACAGCCTTTTGAGGGAACTCCTCAAACAAATGCGAAATAGCCACCTACCCTGCAGCACTGGACGAGTCTCTGAGCTCAATCGCTTGGGAGGCCAATCCGTTGGGTCTTGGGAAACCCGGCATAGAAAGAGCTTCTAGGTTTCAGGCTGCTTCTCCGACTCAGTGGATTTCACAGCTGACTCCCAAAATATTGTAGGAAATAGGACAGCGGGGAGACCCTGCCATTTACACTGGCTCGTGGTTTGTGTACTTGCAATGGAATCCACCGTTTATTTGAAACCACGATCTCAGCCCAGTAGCTGGCTGACGAGTGGCAAAGTCTGGTTTTCCAAACAATGCAGAAAGAGAGGCCTGCGTATGGAGACGCCTGGGATCCTGTGTTGCACAAAACCCACATTGGGATCCCAGCAAAATGAAACATACTTCTGGAGGCAGCCGGGGTAAAGCATGCCGTGACAATACAGGGGGCAGTTTCCTATGTTGGTTCCCTTCCAAAATTAAACCCACCAGGTTCCATTGCAACGGGACAGCAGCTAGTTGAATCATCCAAACTGAATACCTGGGTCATGCGTCACACCTCAGCATGGTTACTCGCCCTCATTGAAGGTACGGAGTCGAGATATGGCCGTTTTAAACCTGGGCAAAAGAAAATGGGCCATGCCGGAATATGAGCCGGCTGTGGGAAACCAAAAGGATTCGATGGCTTCGCTTGGCCGGCTATGATTTTGATGTGGAACACCCTCAACAACGTTGGGCGGTCATGAATCCCTATGCAAGTCGCATTGATATAAATCTCGGGTTTGTTTGAAGCAACAACAGCAAGTCTGATATCCCCAAAGAACGAAAAGGATTTGACGAGAGCCCCAAAGCGACAACGACCAAGCCACCAACTCGCCTCAATCAGCGCCAGCAGCTCGCGGCCATTGGAGCGGCTCTGCTCGCTCGAATCCGCGAGCTCGCCACCTGACACCCCCCCCCCAAACCTGTTCCAATGAAGGACGTATGAGCCAGAACCCTAAACACCAAATACCGGTCCTTCCTTCCTTTCCTTTCCCTTCCCTTCCCTTCCCTTCCCTTCCCTCCCTTCCCTTCCCTTCCCTTTCTTCCCTTTCTTCCCTTTCTTCCCTTCTGCAGTTGCTTCGGGAACGGCAGTACGTGTTTTCTTGATGCTGAAGAAGTTTTCGTTGACGCCCAGTACCCCGCCGAACGGGCGCTTCGGGCGCCCGGGCGCAGCTCGCTGACCAGCAGCTGCTGCCGCTCTGCGGCGCTGGTGAAGCTCTGCCGCAGCTCCTCGCGGAGGGCCTCGACGGCTCGGTCCGCGAAAATCTTGGGGATGGGACCCCCGCTGGCCGCTGGCCGAGGGTTCTGCTCCACCGGAAAACCAAAAGGATATCAGTTTAGGGGGCGATTTTAGGAGGGGTTGTCAAAGGATAATTTTAGGGGACCCTTCGAGAGACCCTCTGGAACCAGAAACCAGCAAAAGCACACCTGAAAACACTCTGGCAGTTCCCTTTATCCTTGCTCTCATTGGACCAACAAGACGCGTGTTGGGCGACGGTCCTAATGCAACCGGGGCTCGCAAAGAGCTGAAACAGGTACCCTGCATTTGAAGCATGAGTTCTGCTCCAACCCTTGCAAATCCCATCTCAGCACTGCCACTTCTCCCGTCACAGGGACGGCTGTTTTTGAAACCAATTCTCATTGCGGGAAGGCCCCATTCAAAAACCGCGGCCCCTTGGCACAGGCTGAGGAATTCTGGCAAACATGTGTCTTGGACCTTGCTTAAGTTGACTGCTGGGCTGGTAAGGACCACAATGTCAAATTGTCTGCCCATCACCATGAAACTATGGTTGCTTTTGCGGAGTTTCCCTTCCTCTAATCACGCATGAAAGGGCTAAGCAGTCTTGTTCATGGAAAGCAAACACGAACAATGGCCGTGCAGGACTCAAGCTGTGCCCTGCAACCTGCCCGCAAATGTCAATGGCTCAAAGACCCTCGGCCCAGCCACGCAATTCTTAGTGCCTGGCTTGAACATCTGCTGCCACGCTGCTTTCAACAGCACGTAGACCCTGCAAGCGCTGGTCACTGTTGGCTTCGCACCCAAGACTCCCTATGCCTGGGTGGGCCCCAGAAAACAGCACCCCATTGGTTCACGGTTTTTGGGCCGTCCCCCATTTTGACATCGACCCATATGGAATACTTATCCTTCACCGACACGTCTGCAGAATGCGGGCTGCACACTGCTGAGTAGGACACACGCGAAAAAAAGAAGAAGAAAAAACATCCAAGAAAAGGCAGCGGTAACTCGGAAAGAAGCAGTGTAGACAAGGTTCTGCTTTGCGTACTCTGTAAGCACATATCATGTGAAGAGTCCCTGAATCTTGTAGACGACAGGCAGAAGCGTTCAGATGTGAATCCTAAGGAATGGTTGCAAGGACAAATCGGACTTGTGTGTGTGACTTCTCCGTGCCTGCAGCGCCTCTCTACTTTCCTCCCTGGCAGAACTCATGGCCTTGGTGGCAAGACCCAACAGTCCGCTTGCGACGCCACCCTCGAAAACTCGTGGATTTTTTGCGACTTTTGGATGGCTCGCGCTCACCAACTTCAAGGATTCTCTGCATCCACCGCAAAGGTTGGGCCACGCTCGCCGGCGCGTGATAAGCAGGCTGACGACATTCTCCTGGGTTCCTTCTGACAGCCACCAAAAGAGGGGCCCTGCTCTGGAGACATTCCCAGGTCTAGCCATGAACAAGCAAAAAAATCCTGCTTCTTGGATGACAAAAAAGGGGGGGGTCTTTTTGGATGGCTTATGAAAGCCAACAGGAAACCACTAAGTTAAGAAACATTTGAACATGTGGCCAAGACGAAATCGTCTTGAAGATCCATGATGTCGATCAAATTCTGGGCTGCTAGCCACGGAGATCGCCTCTGTCAGCTCGGAGCGTAGTCTCACCATGGCAGATGCGGTTTGCTCCTTCGCCTCGGGCGCTCGCTCGCTCTCAAGCTCTCTCAAGCTCTCTCGCTCTCTCTCTCTCTCTCTCTCTATCTCTCTCTCTCTCTCTCTCTTCCTACGTCCCACCACTCATGGCCTGTGCCCGTTTTGGTCGCGCCAAGTTGACCAAGTCTGCAACACATGGCCTCTTGCTTTCAAAATCAACGTGTGGTCTCTAACTTCTGATATGCCAGCTTCCTTTGCATGACGGGTTTGTTGTAATCCAGTTTGTAACGTGTTGGGCGAGCCATGGCCATTTTTGTTCAGCTCACAACCCAAGTGCCCCTCCTCCCGCAAATGCTCCATCAGCTGGTGACATCGGCTCTGCTCAGCGTCCTCCGCTCATCACAGTGTACATGGTTGGATGGGATATGTGGCCCGTGGCATCTTTCATCAGGGTGTGGCAAGACACATTATATCTCAAGCAGCGCGGCCAAGGATTTCTTCCAGGGAGGGATACTTCATACTGCCCTCTGCTCAGCTAAGATTAAAGTCTCGGGCAAACAAGCATGCAAACGTGAACAAAAACACCTGATGATGGGTGTCCATTGTTTTGTTTCCTGAACTGCTCTCATCAACATCTTTGTTTCCTTGTTTTTAAGCGCACATACTGGAAGCGAGCTTAGCATCCCTGGAAAACCCTGGTAGGACTACAGCTCTACAAACCGCACGCCCCTCAGCCCGACCAAAACGGGTGCCAAAGTCCTCCCCCCCACCCCCCGACCACGCCGCCAGCTGCACTCCTCAGCCGCCGAGGCCTTTCCCTCAAAGCGCACGAAGGCCTCCTGAGGCAGCCCCGGCGTTTCATTCACGCTGGAAACAGGAATGGCGAATACCTTCTTGTCAGGGCAGATGAATCAAAGAACCGCTCAGTGAGCCATGAGCCTCACGAAAGTAACATCTTGCCTTGGTATTGTTCCGGCAATGGCATCATGCCCGCCAGGCATGAAACGACGTCTGCTCTCCAAATGCACACTGCACACATTTGTGCTTGATATCACCTCACATGCCCCTTCAAGGTATCCTGCCTAGGCTCCAAAACATGTCTCAACATGATCTCTGGGTATACTCTGCAAACATCTGCGTGCTTTAAGATTGGGTCCTTGAAAGAAACATTAAAACATCGCTAGTTCTCAAGATTCATGTCCTGAGCCCGCTGGCAAAGGTGATGTTCAAATTGAACCCTCAACACTTGGGACATCCCGCAGTTGAAACCACTATGTGTCTTTGTTTGACTCCCCAAGACACTCCTACCATGCACCAAACCCGTGGGACCCATCCATGAACCCTTAGCCCCCAAGTCTCGGGATCTGAGCAAGTGGGGTGCCCGCTGGTCTCTTTCGCAACGCCTGCATCTTGGCGAATCTAGACTCCAGGCTGGCCAGCTGCCGAACCTCCGCAGGCAGTTCTTTACCGACGAGGCATGGGTGGCGGTGGTGTCCAATGGAAAACCAAGAGAGAACAGTGGCATTGATGCAAAATGGTCTTCTGAATTCCAGCAAACGGGCAATCGCTATCATGGCTCACGTCGGAAAAAACAGGGGTTCCTGGCTACTAAAAGGCCGAAAGATCGTCATGCACACCTCAAAAACCAACAACAACTGGTCTTTACTCAGCTGGCCACCTGCTCATTGCTAGCTATGGATATGAGTTTGCTCAGAATATGGATTACAAGTCCGTAATCTGCCATGCCCATCCCCTTCGTTGGGCTTTCAGAAATGCTGGCGGCGGCTCATCTGGCCAAAACCCGACAGGAAATGAGCTCTACTTACCTGCTCCATCCAAAATCCATAATGGATGACAACTCATCTACGGAGCTTAGGCACCCACAGGCGCCGTTGTCTCAATCACCCCACCATCGCCAGCTTTGTGGCGGTTGCACGCATGAGCTTCGGAACTATCTGTTGCCCCCGGGAGGTGTCCAAAACCTTTGCTACGGGTCGCGCCTGTTCACCACATGCGCCTTCTGTGGAGTCCGCTCTGGAAGCCAGAGCAGCGGTCTCCTGATGGCCGCCCAAGAACTGTCCCAAGCATGGCAAACGCCAGCAAGCTGCTCTACTGGCCAACTTCCTCCAAAGCGGGTAAACTATGAAACCAGCCAGCAAAGCTTCAAAACACCCCACACAACCTTCCGGGTGCTCGAACTTAAGCCAGGCCACCTGTTCTACAGACTGTTGTATAGGGTCCATTTTCACGTCGTTTCTATTTTCAGCCACGTCGGGCCTCCTGAGTGGCCGCAAGCTGTGCCTGGCCAGTGGCCAGCAAGCCAGCGCGGCTTGCCAGCACATGTGGCTCGTGGGATTTGGTTCCTTCAAGGTGTTGAAACAGTCAGGGAGCCCTCCAACGGACGGTCATCCCCATCCCCATGAATCACCACAGCTGGTCTTTGGACGCTTCCAAGGAAGGTCCAGCCTCCAATTTGCTCGACCTCGGGCGAACCATCAGCGATTTTTACGGTTCTTTTTTGGGCATCTGGTTCAGGGTCGGCTTTTTTTTGGGAGTCGTTTGGCCGGCGGCCGACTTGAGGCACGCAGCTCCATAGAAATGTATCTCTCTCACAGCTCCCCAACTGACTGAGCAGGCTGGCTGAGGCAGCGGCTCAGTGGCTTGAGCCTTCAGAGTGGCCAGCTGCTCTTTGCTTTTTGCCTGGCGAGTTGTAGAATGGATGTGCACATGCCCGGAACGGATGATCCTTTTGCTTCCCAGCAATTTGGTGAGGGTTGGCTCATGAAGCGTCCCTACACCAGGTCACCAGGTACACGCCTCCACTTGATCTGTCAGGTCAGCCAGCTGCACCCGCGTCTGCCTCACGAAGGTCGCCAGCGCATCCTGAAGGCTCATGGAGAAACGCCGACTGGATCGCGCCTTCAACTTGCAATTGCATCTGTCATTTGGTCTGGCTTGACCGTCCAGGCAGTCCCTTCTGTGCACTTGCCTAAAATGATCCAAGTCAATGAAAGAAACAATCTTATATAGTTCAAGGAGAAATCAAACTGATGCAGCTTCAGCTCTTTGATGACTGCTGAAAGCATCCCTGCCTCCAGGACCTGCAGATTGCTGGACAGCCTCAGGATCGAAATGTGGGCCGAGCACCCTGCAAAAAACGGCTCTTGCGAAATAAATGATCATCCGGTAGCCCAAGGTTCCATGTCAGCGGGTGGGGGTGGGAAATCTTATTCCTGGAATGCCCAAGCAACGTTCAAAACAACGCTGACATGAGTGACGTGTCTCGATGAGTCTAGGTGTAAACAGACTTCATTGTCTCCGTTTATGTGACGGCGATGTGGCTGGCATCACCATGCTGTCTTCCAATAGCTGCCGCTGGGGGTCGCTTTGCTCAAAACAAGTGTCGGGCGGTCAGGCGTGTCCATGCTCCAAATCTACTCAACAAATCAAAGCTGTTCCCCGTCATCCTTCTCTCCCCATGGCGCCATGGCTCCCTGCTTCTCACTGGACTCCTGGAGCTTCCGGAAAAACTCCTCCGCCAGGCACCGGTCGCCCCGGCGCATAGCCTGCGAACTGGGACGAGAACAAAGCTAGCTCAGGGCGTGGACCAAAACCGGCCTAGGCCCTCCTTCCAAAAAAGTGGTGTCATGTTGTGCTGCTGCAAACCTGATATCGACCAATCAAAGGATTTTAACACGAACTGCTGTGCTTTGTTTGAGGAATATATGATGCGCATGAGATAGAAGCGGGCAAAAAAAAAGAGTTTCCGCACGGGAGCAGACCACGCGAAGGCGGTCTCTGAGCGATCTCGGAGCAGATGCGGAATGAGATAGCCGCACATGCTGTTTCCCAATGAAATGGTGAACCCCCTGGTCAAAAGCGCTGCTTCTTTGGTTTGGGTTTGTGTGTGTGTGTGTGTGTTCACTTTGGTAAGCCATTGCAGACTTTCGGGCGGTCAGCCAAACTTTGAAACGCACTTTTGAAATTGAGTTTGTTGAGACATTCAAGCTCATTCTTGTGTTGTGCTTTCCATCAGCTATCCAATCAACAAGCTAACTATCGAGCCAACTAGCTAGCTAACCAATCAAGCAGCTAGCCAGCCAACCAAAAAGCTGGTTGGCTAACTAGCCTACGCTTGACCCTTTGAGCCAGCCCACTATCTAACCAGATAACTAGCTCCCAAACTAGCTGACTAGCCAATTAAGCTTCTAACTTGCAAACTAGCCGATTGAGCCAAGCAGCAAGATGGCGAGCTAGCTAGACAGCTGGCTAGCTAACTATCCGACTGCAAGCTCGCTGGCTCTCCGAACTATCAGCTAGCCTACTCTCGAACTGGTTAGTCTACTCTCGAACTGGTTAGTTTCCGAACCAGCTCACCAGCCATTTCACTAGCTAGCTAATGGCCTAACTAGCTAGCTAGCTAACTTAACTGGCTAGCTAGCTGACTGGCTGACTCCTGAATTGGCTAACTGCCGAACCAGTGAACTAGCTAACTCGCCAACTAGCTTAATTAACCAACGACCTATCTCGCTATCTAGGCGGACTACAGTCAATAGCTGGCTAAACAGGCGAACAAGCTACAACCTCCTGTTCTGACGAATCTCCGATCTCCATGGGGTCATTCAACCCAAGTTCCCCCACAAGTGAAAGAGAAAGGCATCCAAACAGCCCCATTTGCCCAGACCCATGGAAGCCTCTTGAAGCCCATGGTGCCGTCGCTCTGCATCCTCCGACAGCTCGCTGCGAGATGTGGCAATGGCGCTGCTCAAGTCCTGAGGACTTTGACGCTGGCTTTGACTGAAAGTTGCCCCAAGCGCTAGTGAAAACTGGGAGCCTCCACCAAGGGAAGTCTGGAAATTTTGCCCCTGCAATCATAAGGCAATGATCAGGGTTGCTGCCCCAAATGCGCCTGGAGAATTCGCTAGATAACAAGCAAATATGGGTCAGCCTTCTCCACCATGGTAGGGGCCGCCTATGAAAGTACACTGCCTGTCCTGGACTTGCCGCTGGATCTTGTCCCGGAGGACCTCAACAGCCTACGATGTGTGGCGACTTGGGAAGTGGCTTTATGATAGCTCCCATGGACTCCAAATGCGGCGCACAACGCCCCAAACCGGTGGCTGGGGCCTCCTTGCACGCCTCCACACCCTTGGCTTGCGAGCTGACACGCTCCTCCGATGCTTCGAGTCGATTCCAAGCGTGCATATGGATATTGCTGGATAAGAAGCCCCGTGAATATGGGTGGTGAATAGGGGTTTGCTTGAACATGTATCTTGCTCTTCCTTGATGACCTTCTATGCCAGATTGAAAATACATATTGCAGCCGCTATGAGGAACCAGCCACAGGCTGGCTGCGCTGCTTACCAGGATTGTATATTTGTTGGAAGAGGCATTACCATGGTCGAGTTTCCGCCAACACGAAAAGCCCGCTCTTGTTCGGTCACATGCCAAGTGTCACGTGCTCCTTTTTGGCTGAATCTATTAATTCAGGGCAAACAGGAGTAAACCAATCCTTGGAGGGGAGGGTTCTCCTTCGCAAACTTTGAAAGGTGAGTCTAATCAGAGTCTGATCTTTTCCCTCGCAGGAGTGATGTCGTTCGTTTGCTGAGCCTCATCTCTTCTTCTTCATCTTCTGAATGTTCCCAAAACAGACCATAGTCTCACCACCACCACCACCACTACTACTACTCCTCCTCCTCCTCCTCCTCCTCCTCCTCCTCCTACTCCTACTCCTACTCCTACTCCTCCTACTACTACTACTACTACTACTACTACTACTACGAGTACTACTACTACTACTACTACTACTACTACTACTACTACTACTACTACTACTACTACTGCTACTACTACTACTATTACTACTACTACTACTACTAGTACTACTACGACTACGACTGCTACTACTACTACTACTACTGCTGCTACTACAACTACTACGACTGCGACTCCGACTACTACTACCACTACCACTACTACTACCACTACCACTACCACTACCACTACTATTACGACCACTACCACTACTATCATGGCAATCGCTAGCTTGTCTTTGGGTTGGTTCTATCGTTAGTTTGTCTTTGGTCGGTGTATGTTGAAAGGGACAACACAAGGAAATTGCAATGCCATTTTGGGGGGTCTGGAGCCCGGGTTCGGACATACCCATTTATGAAGATATCATGATTAGATTGCATCTTTCGTGCCAGCAGGATTTGCCCCATTTATGGTGTTATAATGATTTGCAACATGATGCATTCTCATAAATGTAGTGCCAGGCAAAGAGACTGTCACCTCGGCTTCAGTCCTCAAAGGCCTCCCCGTGGGTACTCTGCTCCTTGGCCTGCCGCGCCAGCCTCTCCACCTGCCACAAGAGTTGGATAGTGGATTTCAGGTGGGAGTGAAGCTGGCTGGTTTTAGGATTGGTTTGGGCGGGTTAGGGAAGCTGGCTCTAACTCACGAATGGACAGAATGAAGGTCAAAGCCCAAACAGAGTGATCAACATCAAACTCGTTCGTCCTCGAGGCTTAGAGCTCACAGCATTCTACTCGAGGGTTCAAACACGTTGCATGAAACACAATGATTCTCTCAGAAACACACAAATGAGAAAGTTGGCAAGCCAAACTCATCCCCATGCTGGTGCAGCGAATTTCCAAAACACACGACATAATACCATGTGTGTGTGTACATGACATTGAAGCAACGTTCATCCAAATCTGTTCCTTCTTTCACCGGAAAACCCTTGCCATCCAGTGAACAGCAACCAGTCCACAGATTTGCAAGCTCTGGAAGCCTTGGTGTCCAGTTGCTGGCAGAGCCTGGCAAGTCTGAGCCTCAGTGAAGTGTTGCGAGGATGACCAGGGGCCTATGGGACACGCAAGTCACTTATTTGCTCCCGGCACATGTCCGTTCCGAAAATCAGCAAAAGCGACTGCAATTCACAGGGGCAGCCGCCCTGCTTCGCGGCGCTCGCTGGCCATCTCGAAGGCTTCTTCCAGCTTGGCTTGGACCTAGCTAAGACGAAGCAACTTGAAGCACAACCATGACAAGTGTTGATGCCTGCACAAGTCCCGTCCACATGCATCCACTGGCACACAAGCCCCGTGCAAATCCACCGGTTGCTTTTGCACTCCTCAAATTGTTGGGCCTTTTTGGGATCATCCGATCGATAGAAACCAGTCACCTAAATCTCTTGAATGAGCAGGTTGAAGGCCGCCCCACAAAGTTGGCACGTTTCAGCCCACGCTTGGCCATGAGCGCAACCGGGCTCCGCCTCTCTGCGGTGCTCTACAAACTCGTCCCAGTGGGCCAGGAAGCGGCCTTCCGCGTTCACGGCCACGCGCTGCTGGTGCCTGACCCGTGCCGTCACTTGATGGGCCTCCAAACGATTGCATGTGGGCGTCCTTTCAATTAAGACCAAACAAAAACGGGTACAGTACCTATTTCGGCATGTTCCGTGCTAAATGTGAGCTCTGGTCAAACCTCAAAGTGCAATGCGCACCGTACCACCAACCGACAAATTGATGGCTGATACGATTCAATGAGGGGTGTCGAATCTTACCACATATGCCTTAGCCAATACTCTGCCAGCTTCTCTGTTGTTGGCTTAATGTCCTTCCACGCATATGATCCCAGAGCCTTATCAAAAGCTTCGCAGAGGAGGCGGCGTTCACTTCGGTAGACGCATTCTGGCCAACCAGGTGTGTTTTGCGAATGGCTATCGGAGCAAATCAAAATAGACCAAGCATCTTTGCAATCTTTGAATTCCTTTCTTTCGCAGCCCCTTTGATCAGAAGCGAGTCGAGTTTGTGCTGGAGTATTGGAAGGCTCCAGCCGCCGTTAGAGTCGCTCCCCAGGGATCAGAGTCATTTGAGGCACCGGCTGCTGCGAATAGCCGCGGTGCCTTGGGCTCTCAACTGGAAATCTTGCCAAATGCCATGCAAAATCCTGTGGCCAAACAATCCGTCGCTCTGCAGGCAACCACGCCACGACCACACAAGGCGAGCAAATGCCCACGTCAAGGATGGAACGAGGAGGCAGATGGCGATCGGCTTCCTGCGAGTGGCCCAGTTCACAAAACAGCGATCTCTTCCAAAGGAGCGTGGCGTCTGTCAGTTTGCTCTGTGCTTGTGACCTGGACATCCGATGCAAACACGGGCAGGCTGCCCCAGCGACTGTCAACAGTCTTCGAACGGACAAAGGCCTCTGGTCCTTTCAAAACAAGGCCTCGTAATGTCCACGAAAACAACGCGCATGCCTCAAAAGGAAACAACCCAGGCTCCAGAGGCCTTGGATTTTGTAAACCGCCCTCTGCCAAAGCGGCACTGCCAGCTGGTCTCCTGCTGCAGCCAGGTTCACAGCCTAAGTTGCCACTGTGGACAGTAATAGCCTTGAACCACAGCATGATGGGTTTTGTTTTTCCCCCCACAAACATCCTGTAACCTTAGCAATCCAGAATTCTGAGACATGAATCTTCTCATTTCGGAACGTATGTAAAGGCTTTGTAAAGAGGCGCAGAAGGTAGACCAAAAAACCGTGTTCTGGACAGCAAATAACAACAGAGCATCACTAACCCCCCCCTCACTTTTGGATCCAAAACTGACGTTGCAAAAGTGTACCCTGAAAGCTGGATCACTTCTCTGGGTCGTCCTCAGATCCCCTGCTAAAAGTTTAACTTTTAGTGGGTTGTATCAATGGAAACCTCCCTAAACCCTGAAAAGCTAAGGTGATGGCTGGGAGCCACCAAGTTATGCACCTATTCGACGTTTGCATCCAGATCCAAACGGAAGGAGTGCTGGACTGGGTTGCTCTTCACACCTTGTGTAGGTGTACTGGGAAAGCAATTTATAACCAAAAGGTCTAAGGGGCTAAGGTCACGCCAAAGACATGTAAAAACGGCCTGAGTGGAGCATGGGAAGTCATGACAATGGTCCCCTCTTGCTGATTCTGGACCCTCACAGCAAAGAAGAAGAAGAAGAAGGCCAGCAGCAGCAGCAGCAGCAGCATCAGCAGCAGCAGCAGCAGCAGCGGTTAGTGTGTTCTACCATGCTGATTTCGCCCACCGGCGCAAGTGTGCAGCTCTGCAATCAAGCCACGGAGGCAGGAGTGCCGCATGGCGCCATTGTTCAGGACAACCAAGCGGCTCGAGCTGTCCAGTTATTCTACAATTGATGTCTGACAAAGATCAGGTGAAATCCCGGTGTGGTAGGCGCATGCAAGCTGCGCCAGCAGCACTTTGTTGTCAAGGATGCGCATGATCAACTTCACGCGTGGCTCCGTGGCTCTTTTTTGCATCGGGTGCAAAGGTCGGTCGCGCCTTTCGCCTCATCTTGATATATGCCTCTTCTCTACAAAAGACACACCTTTGAGCCCCTCGGCAAAGGCCAAATGTGCCTTCCAACACAGTGCACACCTGAGCAAGCCTATGAAGCGTCCGGCTCAAGAAGGAAAGCTCCCCGACCTCTTTTGGAAGCTCATGGAAAGGAAGCCAAAAAGCAGACCGCTGTGACCTGCCGATGAATTATGTTCATCCGGACAAAATTATATACTTGCTTCTCCGAGTGGACGCTTGAAATTTGTGGGAGTTCGAGTTGTCTCCCCCCAAGTCCTCCCCAAGCCAATGGTAGACCAATGATATTGTCAATAGCAGTATCATAGGTCAAGCAAAGAAGCAGCGCCCTTTGTTGGACGATGGCAGCCTTTGGTTGTAGTGTTGCAAGAGCTCCAATGACTTTGATTGGAAACCCCCACTTTCAGCAACCCCCACTTATGGTTGCCAACACACCGTGGTGATTTGGGCATGAGCTTGGCATGAGCCGAATTGCAAGTTGCTTCCCTGTCCAGCCAGCAGAGCTCACAAAACAGGGGCCAGGAAGGCACAAACCGGCAACAGCAAACCACAACCACCAAGTCATTGTTGCCACGTGCTAGCCGGTCTAGGTTGTCGTTTCCTGGCACCAAACGACTGAGGCACCCAAACATGCAACCGAAGACTAGCCAGCGCAATAGACATTCTAGTCCATCAGGTTGCGGGGATACGGCTAAGCTACCCGAGCCCAGCACATCTTTTGCATCTGACTCCATCTGTGACTAACCGCGGCCCCTCCAACCGGAATTCGCCCGGTTCATCATGAAGTCTTCCACGTCTATGAGGGTTGCCTGCGGAACAGACATGTCCTTCTTGAGCTGCCACCAGTCTCTAAATTGACCTACATGTAGGCCGAGAGTTTGAGTACATTCGACGTCGTCCCTCACAGCTCATCATCAGTAGATCTCACGAAGGTTTACACTTGCAGTCTCTACAAGCTCTTGAGAAGGCCGAGCTCATTGTGCACTTTTGGTCACACTCCTGACCTCGTCCAAAGGCACCACCACACCACATTGCCTCAGGCGACGCTGTGCTTGTTGCACCAATCCACACATTTCGATCTGAAGTGCAATCAAGCAGCTCGTATCCACTTTTCTCCGGGCAGTCCTTGGCGTAGCCTTGGGCATCCATGAAACCGGACACACCGCTCGAGCCACGTTCCTCCGTCCAAGACCAGCAGCACCCCATCCCGTTTCACCAGCAACCTGCCTGTGGAATTTCAGCTGCTTTCCTCGCGATCTTTGAAGGTGTGACAAGTCCTATCCCTGAACGTCGACCACTCTCTGTCTTGTTTCACCTGTAGTGTGCTGAGGGCGGGCAAAAGCGCGGTGGGTGGTTTGTGTGGTCGTTTCACAAGGCGAGTATGTGGTAAAGGAACTGGGTCGCTCTGAGGTGTGTCATTAGAAGCTGCTTCCCGTTGTGAATAGCCTGCTTTGCTGTACGTACAGCATGCTGCTGATGGCTTACATTGGATGTCGCAGCAGTTTCCGCAAGTTGATCTAGAACTCGCCACAAAGATGCACACACAATGTTTTGCAAACCTCCTCACTTTCCTGCCGATTGTTTGCGAGGGTCGTGCCTGGGCTGATTGGCCTTCGGGCACAGCTCACCTATTATCTAACTGAAGAAAGTTGAGGAGCCGGCCCGGCATGCTGCCCTTGCCGTAGCGGATGATTTCCGTGATCTTGGCAGGTTCCTGCCAGGCGCTTGGCGCCGTCCGATAAAGCGGCACAGCCCTCAACCCCTGTGGTTTCCAATAACAAGGGACCTCTTTCTTGAAAGGAACACGCAAAATCAAAAGGGGAAGGGTGGCAGAAGCATGCCTGTCACGCGGAAGAAGCTTTGACGACAACATTCAAGTAAGTATCTTACTATATAAGATTCAGCGCATGCCTTCTATGGACGACGAGCCGTGGTGGTAATATACCCAAGTATGTGTGTGTGTGTGTAGGAGTTTGTCAAACCTGTTGCAGATGCATGCCAGTATCGGCTTCAACGTTGAAGGAGATCACCGACCTAAAACACATCAAGGAAAGCATCCGTGAGCGCAGTAACGAACGAGTCGGACAAGTTTGGCGCGAACGAGTCGGACTAGTTTGGCGCAAGAGTAACGCTGCAACTTGTTGGCAACAGTGTTGAAACATGAGAAACACGCAAGCAACTTCCTGAACTGCATGTTCCATGAGCTACTTCAGCTGCTCGGATCACGCTTTTCCTGTTGAAGCACGTCTGAGCTGGGAATGAGACACGACTCTTTCCGGGCCTTGATGAAGCCCCAGCGCTCCAGGTCCTCCAGGTTCAGTCCTGGCAGGACTCAAGCGAACCTTTCCATTCGGGTGCGCGGGTATCGCTTTTGGGGTGGTCTACAGAAAAACCGCCAAGAATGGGATCCCCATTTTGGCCCATACAGATCCCGATTTGTGTTGGGTGCACTGTTCAGGTGATCTTTGAGATCTTCATTAAACAGAAGAATGCGTAAATCGAACAGAGCAGTCCTTTTGAGATACGGACCTGGTTCATGCCGCCGGGATGACACCTGAAGGACACATAGATTCGGGGCACGGCCGAAGTGTTGCTCTGAGCTGGCGGCCCTGCGCACTTGGCGACAAAGACTTCTTTGCCGTATTGATACCACTCCTTGCGGAGCCGAGTGGAGTAGCCTTTCGACTGCTTTGATTGCTTGCCTCATTCACCTAAGCTCTTTCTCATGGGCCATGAATGGGCGAAAGCCGTATGCACAAAGTCCCGCGTGGTAGCCAACAAATCAAGCCCAGCAAGCGCATCTGTTGCGTCCACGGTTCAATCCTGATCTCTAATCGTTGATGGACTGAATCAGAATGGGTGTCTCTCAAAATGGGGCACCCCTCCAAATATCCCATTTCCCTGTGAAGACACACAAGAATGGAGCCCGCCATGCACTCACTCGTCCCCAAGTGCTCCTCGTTGTCTATTTGCTTGGAAGGAGTTGTCCGTCTCCGCTGTCGCTCCTAGCCAATCTGACGGAATTCGCATCCAGCATGGAGCGGCTTGGAGCTTGGCAGGCCTCCGGGGCGATGTCAGGCGCCTTGTCATCATCCGGGGGCGGAACAGGAGGATTCCTGTTGGCGCATGCTCGGAACGGAGAAAATGTGAAAAGATGGAGAGAAATACATCCTGACTCTTGGACAAAATCCTGGCCAAATGATTGGATCACTGTAACTGGCCCCTCGAGACGCGAGTCCCTGGATGTAGCACGGGCAGCATGATGGCACGCGAGCCTCTCGATGAAGGACCGCGTGTCCTCCGGGAAGGATGCTGGGTAAGCAAGATCTCTGTAACATGCTTCTAGCAACCGCCTGATGCAAACAACAAAATCATGGCTCTGGAGTGACTGCTTTGCAAAACCAGCTGCCATGGCTCTTGCGGGTCAGTCCATCTGTTCCATTTCCTCTTGCGCCAACGCCGCGGTTGGCAGCACAGAGGACAAGAGAAGGATGCACGCCTTGGGGCAATGCGCGTGGTGTGGAACCGTGCCCAGCTGAAAAGGAAGCCAGGGTCCCAGAAGAAGCAGCCTGCTTGACCACCCCTCATGTAATCAGCCCCGCAAATATGCTGTGGCCTCCAGGCTTGAAAGCCCAAAATCAATAGTTTCGCAAATGAGTTGTCCCATCAAGGCTGGTTTAGAACAGCAAACCTTCAGGACATCGACCTGCACTTGTGGGAAACCACCAGATCTCTGGAGGTTTTCAGTCTCAGGGCTCGGCCACAGCCGACGCCCATGGAGTCCAGGCCAGAGTTTCCCGCTGCGCCACCGATGCTTCCGGAGCCTTTGCCCAACTCCTGGCAGGGAAAGGCCCGCAAAACCGTCAGACCGAGGATCCCCGAAGCCTCGATCACCCGATGCCGTTGAGAGGGGTAATCAAATTGCACCATCACATGCAGACACGCAGGGTTGCCCCAAGTGGGGTGATCTGAAGACGGCAAGTCACAAAGACAACGCCCAGGCACCTGGATGCCAGTGAGCTCCGGCCAGTGCAGCGCCATTCAAATGGCCCGCAAAATGCCTGGCTTCAAGGCGATTTGTCCGCCTCAAGTACGCAGACTGCTCTATGGACGCATGCCCAATAACAGCCCGCGTTTGCAGTTAGGCTGTCTTTGGCTGTTCTCTGCTTGTTTTGTGCTGGCATGGCTGCTTGTTGCGGCTGTTGCCGCCACCGCTGCCGTTGCTGCTGCAGCTGCCGCTGCTGACAATGAGAATAACAATGACGATCTTCTGATGTCAGGCATTCGCCTTCCCGCCATTATTGTTGTGAAGGGTATTGTTTATATTAATATAGATACACACACACATATAATATACATATGTATGGATGGTATGGTCTGGTCTGGTCTGGTCTGGTCTGGTCTGGTCTGGTCTGGTCTGGTGTGGTGTGGTGTGGTGTGGTGTGCTATGGTATGGTATCGTGTGGTATGGTATGGCATGGCATGGTTTGGTATGGTATGGTATATATGCTATGGTAGGGTAGGATAGGGTAGGGTAGGGTAGGGAGGGTAGGGCAGGCATGGTATGGTATGGTATGGCATGGAATGTAAAATTAATGTAATGAAACGTACTTTACTGTAATGTAATGCATGTATATATCTGTGTGTAAACGTGTATAACATGAAACATGATGATTTGGGCAGCAAACTGAGAATCTATCGCACCAGCAATTGAATGAAAGAAACATGAAAGGGTTGTACGGAGTCCCCGACATAAGCACGAACGCATGCAAAAGCAAATCAATTCCCGTCAAAGGAACTATCCGGTGTGGATGAAGACACCAGACACTGGGGCAGCCACAGTAAACGCACGGAACGGCAAAAACAAAGCCACAGCCTCTCTTAAAGTCGGATGTGACGGGCTCATCCAGTTTTGCAAAAAGGAGCTACTCCAATGTTTGCCAGGACAACATGTGTCAAATGCCAGGCTTCCTTCATCCCAAGAGTGTTGCCTCCCTCGAATATCCTAGGCCATCACGGCTGGTGCAATCATGCTTTCATGAGGTCGTTTAAGAAAAGCCAATCATCCAGACACAAACAGCTGCCATGGGGTCCAAGCCCATACGGCATCTGCCCGTGTGCCTGGGGCAGAACTGCGCCCAGCAAAACGAGGCCTGCACAATGGGCAAGGCAGAGTGCTCTGCCACGTGTTTCTGCGCAGGTTCATCTTTTTGGCAGAGAGCGTTTCTCAAAATTGGGGGGGTCGGGGTAGGAGCAACCCACAGTTTAGCCAACCCTCATCTGGAAATGTGAAAAATAAGTGACCTCATGTCGTTAGCTACAGCAAAAAGACAAGAAGAAAAAAAACAACGACGGGTTGAAGCAACCCCCAATTGCAACTGAACCTTGTCGGTGCTGAGATGTTTGAGGGATTGATCGTTTTTCTCAAATGTGTGTCGAAAGTGGAGACCCCTCCTCCTCAATCGCGTGCTCTGGCTGGCAAAAGACGCAAAATTACAAGACTCGGCGCCTAGGCGAAGCACCCTTGATCGAGCCTCGCGTGGCGTCCACTCGGTTCAAATCATTGGGGGACCACGGGCAAGACTTGAGGCCTCCGCTGGCTTTGGACAGATCTGGGGCTTCTTGGAGGAAAAAGACGCCAAGCATTCTTAGGTCCCCGTAAGACAAACCCTTCTGCGGCCCTCCACTTTCCAGCGCACAAGCCATGTGTGAATGCTTTGCCGCATGAGGAACCGGCCATGTTGAGGCGGATCTCACCAGTTCTTCTGGACGCAAGCAGCTGAGTGTGAGTGTTCTTTTGCTTGAGGTGCCTGTGTGCTTTGTTTCTGGTGGGTCACGCAGATTTTGTGTGGCTAAGAAGAAATTGTCAGTGAGACTTGTACGACCTTGTTGCAGCCTCACCTTTGCCAAGTACATGTGATCACAACTCTCATGCTGGCTGAGCCTAAAGGGCGTATTGAGCGCAGCCTTGACGTTGGTGGGACACCTTGGGTGGCCGGAATACAGACCCTTTTGGATGCTTGACTTGTCAATCTGCTTTCCGACCTATGCATTCTGGTACCGCCCCGGCAAGAACGAATATGTATCAATCATTGCCCATCACTCCCTAGTCGCCCCTTGGCAGCGCATGAGAGATCGTGTTTGCCAGGCTAGCCGTCGGTTTTCTGCTTCCGGCGCTGCTTTGCAGTCTCACGCGCCTGGCAAAAAGCTCGTCGAGTACAAGTGGATCTCCTGCTCTCTTGCTTGGCGTACATCAAGCAAGGCAGGATCGGGGTTTGACAAAAGCACACATTTTGGGAGGCAGTGATCAGATAAAGAGTTCCCGTGAATGGACAATGGAGAATTGATGAAGCTTCCAATTTGCTTGCAGAGGTGCGGCATCATCGGCAAGTATCAAAACTAGGCATCCTCGAAATTGTGCTTCGTTGCAAGCCATGCCAGAAGGTGTCCCTAGTCTCGACACGTCCGCTGCATCTTGCCTGCCGCCTTTGCCGGCGTCTGTCTAGCCTCTTCTTCGCGAATGCCTAGCCATCGACGAAGCGCAATGCAGGCCCATTGGCAAGTCGAAGGCGCTCAATCAGCCAAACAGCCGAAAAGCATGATTACACTAGCGCCCAACAAATCGCTTGACCGCGCTCAGCTTGAATTTTCATTGATGCCCCATGCTGCTCGAATCCACCCAAGAGCGCCTTCGGGGGGCTTGAAATGGAGCTGCAAATTGAAGCAATCCAACGGATCCAGCGGGTCAGTCGGCGCTGGCCTCCAGGAGTGGCAAGTCTGTGGCCAGGCTCTTCAAGCTGAGCGCCTTGCCCTCAGCATGGAATCAATGTCAACACGACGCTCCTCAGATCATCAAAGCAGTGAACCAAGTATGAGTGGCTCTGCTGCGTGCATAAGCAATAGCAACCCACAGGGATTCAACTTCCACCACGTGAAGAACAGCGCTGCATTTGACAGAGCAACAACTGCTGTGTGGCCGTCGACATGCGTTGCTTTCCTCTCGCCGAAGGAAAGCTGAAATAGCGCCGGGGATTCTAAAACGCTGCACGTCTCTCCATACCCCCCTTCATCATCTTTTACCATATTGGCACTTCGGAAGAAGCAAACAGGCAACTCGAAAAACCTGCAGAACCAGCTTTTTGGTCTCCGACCAGCTACAAAATGACCAACCATCAAATGGCCACAAAAAGAAGATCAACAAAAGCCCTGGATAAAGCTCGGACATCCGAAAAGTGAAGCCTCGTCCCGGCGCATCGCCAAGGTCACCTCCCTGCCTGGCACGCTGCACCCGTGCCCTGCCGCCCCCCCGCCCCGGCGCCAAGGAAACCAACGTGGAGATGCGGAGAGGTCCCAAGTAGCGGTACTCTAATTGGTGATGCACAGAAAGATCTGGCACGTTCTGTCAACCCTCTCTTCATGCTTTTCAGCGTCATTCCTTGCCATCTGCGAGCAACCTCAACCTCGTCGGGTTCAGCCTCTCCAACCTCTTTCTGCGCCATTGCTATCCTTACTTGTCCTCTCTGTCCATCATGGCCCCACTCAACGGTGCTTGGGTTGTCAAACTGGCCCCTTTCGCTGCTCGACTTCTGTTGCTTCCCTTTGATCTCTCCTTTCAAATCGCTTCTCAAGGGCTCCCCTAAACTGGCCGATTTTCCTTTGGGCTCCCCTTGAAATAGCGAAAAGGGGGCTGCGAAATCCGTGTTTGGAGAAACCCGCCCGCCGCAAAGCCCTCCCCGCGAAGCAACCGGGTCAGCCTTTCACCTGCAGGAGATTCTCGTTCTCCATGTGCTGCAGCAGCGCCTGCGCCGACTGCCCCGCTGACGAAGTTGCGTGTGGATGCAAGCACAACTAAAACCCTGTAGATACTGGGATAAGCCGTGTACCCACTGGTGGATTTGTCCATCCCATGGTTTGTTCACAAGTTTGTGGCCCGTTAAAAATATCGATTGTATATAGTATAGAATACACCAAACACCAGAACCTTAGAACCCCCGTTGCAACGTAAAGAGAGTCTTAGCCCCTCTTGGCTTCAGAAACTCTCCACGTGAACCCCAGGTGCCAAGAAGCCTCTCACCGCGTAAGCCTTGAGGCAGGCTCCAAAGGCGAAGGATGCCGTGAATTCTCCGGGGGATTTTCACGCATGATCTCTGTGGAATCTAGGAGCAATCTGGCAGAATTCTGACAAAAGAGGAGCAAAAGTAGTCGGAGTCTGCAAAGAGAAGCACTCTGCGAATCTACTGTGAATCTACTGGGAATCTAAGAAGCGACTTCTCTAGAGTCGCACCTGACACCTCTCGCATTTCCAACGCTGGCCTGGGCCAGCGAATTGCTCACCGCCAGGCCACTCTTCTGGCATTCCCCCGTGATAACTTCCGCCTCGGATCCAACGCCATGGCTTTCGGCACATTCGAATGGAATGAAAAGTACGGTCTCAATCAGGCTAGCTATTGCTTCGGATCGGGAAGATGCGAAGTGCGTCAAAAGGCTTGGAAGAAGGAATCGCAAGGGAAAAACGAACCGTGGAAGTCCAGGTTTCCATCATTGATGGCATTGACAACATCAAACAAGTCAAGCCTCATTTAGAACAACACCTTCCGCTGCTGCATACAAAAAGGCAAAAAGGCAAATGGTGGGCCTTTGGCAAACACTATTGCAGTATCTATTGGCAAGCTCCCTCTTGGGGCAACTCATCTCAGCAGGTGAAGAGTCAACTGTTTAACTACACCTCCGAAAAAAAAAAAAGGAGACATCGGCCCGCTGCTCGGCAATGGAAGGTTCGAAGGTAATACGTAGAACATAGTTAAAAGACGCTGTCTTGTCTCTTGCGGCTCATCCTCTTGACGATAAGCCAACCTTCATCTCAAAGGAAAAAGCCATAGAATGCGCCTGCTTTCTCCCAGTCAAACGAGAAAGTCTCTGATCGCACCAGAATTCGGATACACCAAGACGCCAAAGATAGGCCAAACTGGGATTGAAACAACATGGACAACTCAATATGCACTGTACAGAACTGTATATCCTATTGCTTTGACCAGAAAAGAATGTGCCCAGCGCGCTTCCCTCTGATATGGCACCCACAAAGTCAGCCCCTGGCGAACTGGGCACGCCTCCGACAACCAGCTGATGCAGCCATCGCTGGCCTGGAGGGAGGGAAGAAGTGCTTCATGTCTCAAAATGACAGAGCTGTTGGGTTTCCAGTCCCAAAGCATGTCCTATTTTCAGGATTAATTTCTCATGGTCTCCAGTGTGAACTGGGCTTTCAATCTGGAAGAGTGCAAACCCGAAGGAGGCAGGCCAACCTGTGATCAAGCAAAGCAAGAGACCTTCTTTCTTGCAGATTGATGATTGAAGTCAGAAAGCCTAAAAGCAACGTGAACCGCCTTTCGAGGGACATATCTATCTGACACAAATCATCATTGTTATGTCTGATGCCAGATACAATCTTTCTGAGTTGTCTACCGGTGCATGAAAAGCTTCTCTGAACATGATTGTTGGAGAAAGTCCATTTCAGGGAAAACGATGCATCTGATTCACTCTGTCGGGAGAATCTGCTGTCGGGAAGCACAGGACGTGCAATTACCCACTTCTGCGTGCCCAACCTTGTTTTTCACTTTGCCACATCCTGGCGTGCCAAGACTTTGGGAGATAGAGGTCTGAGATTGCGGCTGGAGAGCCTGGCACAGCCTCTGCATCGCCTAACAGAAAGCAAGTCAGGAATACATTGATGCTGGTACCAAAGCACTCAGGGGCGGAATGACACAAGCTCAGCATCACAGGGGCCAGTCATCCAAAGTGGCTTTGCCGCCAACTCCAAGTTCTGCTCATGCCAATACCTCGTCCATCCGTCACTCGCTGTTGAAAAGTCTTCAAGCCTCGTGCACCTCGGCCTGCTTGGCCTCAGCCTCCTCATCCTCGCAAATGAGACCAGACCGAAGGCGGATCGCCCGGGTTCGATGCAAGTGCTGACAGATGTGCGCCATGGAAACTTCAATATGCCAGGATTCCCCTCTAGAGCACCTTTGAACCAAACGACTTTGGAAGTTTCCCCCGCTCTCACTATCTTGCCTTTGGCTTCCGCAGCGCTGCAAGGCGCTCCAGCAGCCGTCCCAGACCTTTTCGGGGGTTCAGCCTTGGTCCGGTTGCACGCTGGACCAAACTCGATTGCTGTGGATTCGCGTCTGCTGCATAGGGAGCTTGTCAAATGCACGTATTGATGGCCATTTGGTGGTTCTTGAAACTATGCAAGAAGGGGGTCGCGCTCAAGGACTGCGATGTTCGCCTTGGGTCCAAGCTGCGTTCCGTTCCAACTCTTCGCTCTGGCCACGCTGAGCTGCCGGGCGCTCCAAATCTTCCCGGCGGGGCCTTCTGCCACGGCCCAGCCTTACTCAAAATGGCTGGCTCCAAACACCCCAGAGCAGCCTCCTGCATCGGGTCTCCATTGGAACTCACAGAACTACGGACCCCTCTGCAATGGCTCGCGGTATGCTAGCTTGTGCTCACAACAAATCACCATGCGGGCGTGCTATGCTTGACACAGTTTTGGCGCATTTCGCGAATTGAGGCTCCGGCCAACTTTGGCTTGTGGCAAGATGCACTGGGTCGTAAGAGTGGCTTCAGAGCCTGACATCCGAGAGAGAAAGCGAAAGAGAAGGAGAAGGATGAGAAGAAGGAAGGAAAGAGAACCACAGGAGGAGGAGAAAGGGGAAAGGAGAAAGGAGAGAAAGAGAAAGCGGCTTTGCAGCAAACGTGTGTTCATGTGAAAATCCTGCTAGCACCTGCTAGCGGTCATGAAAAGAAACCAACATGAAAGCATGCCATGGCAGAGCTCAAATGCCGAGACAAACTTTATTGCTGCCTGAATGGGATGGTTCAGGAAAAGTATTTGCAAAGTTTGGGTGTTTTAGCGTTGCTCGTTTTGCTCTCAAAATTGATCGGAAGGTCGCTTTTTGACTGTGTTGTCTTTGTTAGAACCCGGAATAAATCAACCAAGGGGTTATCTGCAGGCCCTCTCTCGAGCCACATATAATTTCAGATGATGGCCATCGGGAATTGTGCACCGCTCCAGAGCAGGGCATAGCCTAAGTATTACGTGCGTGCGTGTGCCCAAATGAAGAATGTGTAATTGAAAGTAAGCCACGCAGAAACCAATCATCGGTGTGCGAAATTGCGGATATTGTGTCTTGTTTCGCTGCTCGGTCTTGGCCAGACCTCTCTATGCGCGCTGGCGCTTGGTGCATGGCTACTCTCAATCAGTCGCACACATCTGATTTGGGGATGTCCAAAACTGGGACAGACAGTGTTGGAATAGTTTCACAGAAACAGAAAACAACACAAACAACGTGACCATTTGGAAGGCTCTAACTAGCCTCAGCACATGCCCATCGGATTGCTTGCTTACATGGATTTGGAAAGGATTGTCGCAACACTTTCAATGAGGGTGTCAACGGTTCGAGACAACTCTCGCGATCCACATGAGGAAGCCATGGCCTTAACTTTGACTAGAGTCCCCCCACTCAAAGGCGACAAACAATAGATGGCTTTTGGTGCTTCTCAAAATCGGTCCCCTAAACCGGCAAGGGTGTCCTTTTGGTTTCCCCTTAAATAACACTAACAGGGGGTCCACCATTTTGAAAAACTCTGCGCGCCTGGAACATCTTCTCGGCGAGTTCTCGCGGCGGCGCTCCCTCGTGCAGGGCCTCTAGGTGTTCCGCGAGGTACACGGCTGCGCCAACCTGTGGATGTCGGCGGCGCTGAAGTGGATGTCGATGGTTTCAACTTGCGCGCTGTGCTGTCCGTTGCTTTGCTTCGCCCTTGTCTTGGCTGGTCTCCAATTGTGATGTGGTGCTGATGTTGCTTGTTGTTGTTTGCTATGTTGCGGTGTATTTTGTTGCAAATGATGTTGCGCTGCGTTGAGTGCGTGTTGCTTTTGTTGTGTGAGTTTGTCGTGGCACAATGTTGTGTTCTTGCGTTGTGTTGCTGTGGGGATGTGTCATCTGCAGTGTTGTAAGTTAAAACTCTGCGCTCGGTGCGATGTTATAAATAACTATATAATTGAAAAACAAGTGCTGTTTGTGGTGTGATGCATGTGCTGCGTTGAGTGTTGTCCTGCTGTGTACTCCGCTGTGCTGCGATTACATGTCTCATCTTGTTCTCGCGCTGCCGTGTTTCGTGTGTGTGTGTGTGAGCGTCGTTGCACGCTGCGTTTCTGTGAACTGCGCGCAACGCCTTATTCTCTGTGAGCGCTTGCTGCATCACGCCTGGAGAAATCTCTTTTGTTGCGCCGTGTTTGTCACCCCGACCGGGCATCGCTGGGTTTTGTTGAGCTGCTGCGGTCTATTAGTTTAACTTAACTGTCTCGTTTTGACCTATTGGGTTGTGTTGCGTCGCGTTGCGTTGCGACTGCGTTTGGTGTCGCTCTTTGTTGCACCGCGCCTGTTCCGGTCACTGTGTGAGTCGTGCGTTTGGTTCACAATGACTGTGCGTGATGTTGTTGTTGTGGTTGTGGTTGTGGTTGGGGCTGTGGTTGTGGTTTGTGGTTGCGATTGTGGTTGTTGTTGAGGCTGCGGTTGCGGTTGTGATTCTGGTTGGGGTTGCGGTTGCGGCGGTGGTTGTGGTTGTGGTTGTGGTTGTTGTTGTTGCTGCTGTCGTTGTTGCGTTTGTGGTTGTGGTTGTTGGCGCTGGTGTTGGTGTTGCTGTTGTTGTTGCTGTTGCCGGTGACGTTGCTGTTTTTGTTGCTTCTGCTGCCATTGTTGCCGTTGTTGTCGGTCGGTTGTTGCTGTTGCGGTTGTTGTTCGAGTTGTTGTTTGCGGCGGTGATGGTGATGGTGATGTTGTTGTTGTTGTTGTTGTTGTTGCGTTGTGTTGTTGCTGCGTTGCTGCTGCTGTTGTTGCTGGTTGTGGCTGTGGCTGTGGTTGTGGTTGTGGTTGCGGTTGTGGTTGTTGTTGTTGCTGCGGTTGTTGTTGTTGTTCGGGTTGGTGTTGTTGTTGCTGTTGCTGTTGCCGTCGCTGTTGCTGTTGTTGTTGTTGTTGCCGTTGCCGTTGTCGTTGTCGTTGTCGTTGTTGTTGTTTGGTTGCTGTTTGGTTGTTGTTTGGTTGCTGTTTGATTGTTAGTTGGTTGTTAGTTGGTTGTTAGTTGCCTGGTTGTTGTTGTCGTCGTTCTTGTTGAGGTCGTTGTCGTTGGGTGTGGCGGCAGTGGCAGCGGTGGTGTGGAGGTTGTGGTTGTGGTGTCGTTGTTGCGCTTGTTGTTGCTGCTGTTGTTGTTGTTGTTGTTGTTGTTGTTGCTGTTGTTGTTGTTTGGTTGTTGTTGTTGCTGTTGTTGTTGCGGTTGCTGTTGCTGTTGCTGTTGCTGTTGCTGTTGTTGTTGTTGATGCTGCTGTTGCTGTTGCTGTTGTTGTTGCTGCTGCCGTTGTTGCTGTTCTTGTCGCTGCTGCTGCACTTGTTGTTGTCGGTGTTGGTGGTGTTGGTGATGTTGGTGGCGATGGTGTTGTTGTTGTTGCGGTCGTTGTTGCCGTTGTTGTTGTTGCTGTTGTTGTTGTTGCTGTTGTTGCTGTTGTTGTTGTTGTTTCCATTCGTTTGCTTCGCCGCGGTGGAAGGTCCAGCGCATGACAAACGCGCGTTCACGCGCGTCGTGTCAGCACTGCGCCCATGCCTGGCACGTTGTAAGCACACCCGCTCAGGCGCGTCATGTCAGCACTGCACACATGCCCTGCACATGGTAAGCACACCCGTTCACGCGCGTCATGTCAGCACTGCGCACATTCCCTGCCCATGAGAAGCACACACGCTCACGCGCGTTATGTCAGCGCTGCGCACATTCCCGGCAAATGCTAAGCACACCCGCTCGCGCGCGTCATGTCAGCACTGCCCACATGCCTGCACATGATACGCACACCAGTTCAAGCGCGTCGTGTCAGCACTGCGCACATGCCCGGCAAGTGCTAAGCACACCCGCTCAAGCGCGTCATCTCAGCACTGCGCATATGCCCGGCACATGATAAGCACACCCGCTCACGCTTGTCATGATGAGCGCCCGCTCACGCGCCTCACGTCAACACTGCGCACAAACCCGGCCAATAAGCACACCCGCTCACGCGCGTCATCTCAGCACTGCGCACATGCCCGGCCAATGATAAGCACACCCGTTCACGCGCGTCATCTCAGCACTGCGCACATGCCCGGCCAATAATGCGCACACCCGTTCCCGCGCGTCATGTCAGCACTGCGCGCGTGCCCGGCGCATGACAAGCACACCCGCTCATGCGCGCCGCACGCCGGGCGCCATCTTCAACTTCGCTAGACACTTTGCAAGAAAATGGCTGCCAAAGAAGCTTTTTTGGGGAATCCGAACGACTGGAAACGATGACAGTTCTGCGTTTCGATACAATGCCCCTTTGAAAAACGCTCCTCTTTCCACGACGGCGAAGCAAACTAATGCGTTGTTGTTGTTGTTGTTGTTGTCGTTGTTGCAGTTCTTGTCGTTGTCGTTGTCGTTGTCGGTGTCGGTGTCGGTGTCGGTGTCGGTGCGGGTGCGGGTGCGGGTGCGGGTGTGGGTGTTGGTGTTGGTGGTGGTGTTGGTGTTCGGGTTGGTGTTGTTGTTGCTGTTGCTGTTGCCGTCGCTGTTGCTGTTGTTGTTGTTGCCGTTGCCGTTGTCGTTGTCGTTGTTGTTGTTTGGTTGTTGCTTGGTTGTTGTTTGGTTGCTGTTTGATTGTTAGTTGGTTGTTAGTTGGTTGTTAGTTGGCTGGTTGTTGTTGTGGTCGTTCTTGTTGAAGTCGTTGTCGTTGGGTGTGGTGGCAGTGGCAGCGGTGGTGTGGAGGTTGTGGTTGTGGTGTCGTTGTTGCGCTTGTTGCTGTTGCTGTTGTTGTTGCTCTTGTTGTTGTTGTGGTCGTGGTTGTAGTTGCTGTTGTTGTTGCTGCAGGTCTTGCTGTTGTTGCTGTGGTTGTTGCTGTGGTTGTGGTTGTGGTTGTTGTTGTGGTTGTGGTTATGGTTGTTGTTCTTGTTCTTGCTCTTGTTATTGTTCTTGTTCTTGTTGCTGTTGCTGTTGCTGTTGTTGTGTTTGTTGGTGGTATTGGTGTTGGTGTTGGTGTTGGTGTGGGTGTTGTGGGTGTTGTTGTTGTTGTTGTTGTTGTTGTTGTTGTTGTTGTTGTTGTTGTTGTTGTTGTTGTTGTCATTGTCATTGTCGTTGCTGTTGTTGCTGGCGGTTTCGTTGTCGTTGTCGTCGTTGTTGTTGTTGCTGGTGGTGTTGTTGTTGGAGTTGTTGGTGTTGTTGTTGGCGTTGGCATTGTTGGTGTTGTTGTTGTTGTTCTTGTTGTTCTTGTTGTTTGTTGTTGGTGCTGTTGCTGTTGCTGTTGCTGTTGCTGTTGCTGTTGCTGTTGCTGTTGCTGTTGCTGTTGCTGTTGCTGTTGCTGTTGCTGTTGCTGTTGCTGTTGCTGTTGCTGTTGCTGTTGCTGTTGCTGTTGCTGTTGCTGTTGCTGTTGCTGTTGCTGTTGCTGTTGCTGTTGCTGTTGCTGCTGTTTGCTGTTTGCTGTTTGCTGTTTGCTGTTTGCTGTTTGCTCTTTGCTCTTTGCTGTTTGCTGTTTGCTGTTTGCTGTTTGCTGTTTGCTGTTTGCTGCTTGCTGTTTCTTGCTTGTTGTTTGTTGTTTGTTGCTTGTTGTGTGTTGTTT